TTTTATACACTATGCCTAATTGAAAGATCACTTCCCCTAACATGTTACATGGTTTGCAACCCAAGAACAACCATATACTACTCTTGAAAAATAGTTTTGAAATATCTTGTTAATCTTTTACCCTTTCTACTTGCAGGAAGGGTCTCTGTGTTGGTGAGAAAGAGAAGCTTAGACTCTTTTTATCCTTTTTGTTACCGCATTTGTGCTTTTGTCCCTCTTTTAGTTTCCATTTTGAGAGTAAACAGTGATGCTTTCAAAGTAAAATAACACACATTAAATAAATAACACGTTAAAAAGAAAAGGAGCCAAGTGGTTGTTAAGTACCCCTAAATGAAAATGGGGTTGGAGAGGTGGTCAACCTCTTTATTTTTCCTTCCCTTCTTTAATTTTTTATGTCTGCAACCCTTGATGATCTGGAATTATTTGGGGATAAACAAAAAACTGGAACTACCTCTTCGATAGGAAGCCAAAGCTGTAGCAGTTGCCTTACCCACATGCTAAGGTTCCCCAAAATAATACAGGCGGCCCTACCAGCCCCACACGTAGTAGTATTCTTTACTCCTGAGCAGGGCTGTGCTAATATTCTGGACGTGCCATGCTGCATGACAGCTTCTGTTTCCTGCCTCTGAATCCTCTTGCTCTAAGCACCCAGCTTCCTTCTTCTTTTCCCCAGGCTTGTTCTTTTTTTTTAGTTCTTCTTTTTAAAATTTTATTTTATTTTAAAAAACTGACACATAATGGTTGTACGTATTTATGGGGTATACAGTGGCATTTCAATACATACAATATGTAGTGATTAAATCAGGGTCATTAGCATATACATCTACTCAAAACATTTATCATTTCTTTTTGTTAGAAGCATTCAATATCCTCCTAGCTATTTGAAACTGTGTAATATATAATTGTTAACTATAGTCACCCTACAGTACTGTAGAATGCTAGAATTTTTTCCTCCTATCTAGCTCTAAGTTTATATCTTTTAATAAATCCTTTTTTATCCCTCCCTTCCCATACCCCAACCGGAGGTATCCTCTGTTCTACTTTTTACTTCTATGAGATCAACTTTTTTAAGCTTCCACTTATGAGTGAGAACTGATGGTGTTTAACTTTCTGTTCCTGGCTTGTTTTCACTTAACCTAATGTCCTCTGGTTCCATCCATGTGGCTGTGAATGACAGGATTTACTCTTTTTTTTTTTTTTCAATGCCTGAATAGTATTCCATTGTATAGCAGGCTTGTTCTGGGTCCTCTTCCTTCTTTGTCCTCTAGGGTTCTTTCCAAGTAGATGGGGCTTTCACATAGAAAAATAGATTTTCCCAAGCTGCAAACTCTAGCAGTACTAATGTTCACTTAAAATCAAGACAGAAGCAAAATGTCTTACTGTCCTATTATAACAGTTTGACCGTTTCTCTTCTTCCCTCCCCAAATCTTGTCTAGGAAGGGACATAGAGAAAAATGTCCTCGTATACTGACTGCTAAGATATGATGTTATTCTACCTCCTATGAAATAGCTCTCCAACCTCGAAATGTGTCTTAAGAGAAATGTTTTAAGAGGGAAGGATCATTTAAATTGAGTTTTAAAAATGAACGTACCTTCTCTTTATTGATACCCTTGTTTCTTTGTTATTCATATTCTGTAATCTGAAAAGCTGCACAGCTGCAGGTAGAACTTGACTATAAGATCCATCAAGGCAGAGATTGTCACTTGTTTATCACTATATTCCTAGTGTTTAGTACAGTGCTTGGCAAGAGTAGGTGCTCAGTAAAAATTTAGTGAACAATGAAAGAAGCAACAAAACTGCTTAGTAGAAAGGAAATAGTCCACAAAAGTACATTACTTTTACAATAAAATAATTCACTTAACAAACTTCATTACTTGATTTCTTAGAAAGTCTTCAGTTCTTTCCTGTTGTAAGCAGAGGAATTTACAAAATCTGAAGGATTTAGGATATTCAAGACAACAGTTAGAGGTGGGAATGGGGTGGTAGAAGTAGACCATTTACCACAGAGAGAAGTAATATGCTGGAGGCATAACAAGTCAAGGGTCAATTAATGTAGAGACAATTGACCTGAAGGCTAAACAATATCGCCTAGAGGAGCAGAGTGGTGGAAGGACCACCTGAGCCATTGAACCCCCAATAACACCCTAAGATGTTGCAGTGCAATAACCTGTGTGCGTAATAATAGGTAAGTAATACTTATTCGCAGTTTGCTAAAGTAAATAAGCATTTCCATTAAAAGTTGTTAAAAACTTAAACATTGTAGTGCATAAATTTTTTTTTTACTTCCAAAATGACACTATCATTCCTTGAAAGTGTGAGATAAGTAGTACTGACTAGATCCATAAAAGAGTTGATAATATGGGCCTTTTCCCATGTTACTGACATTTGTCAAGTATGCAAAATGGTGAAAATGATGGATGGGGGCAAATAAAAGGCAGTATTTGTGTAGCTCAAGTTGATACACCAAGAATTAATATCTTAATATACTTCTTGAGTACTTATGCTTCTCATTTTGCGTCTGTCTCATGAAACTCAGCATATTGTAAACTGTGATCTTGAAGAAGCAGTGTTTTTAATTAACTTTTTATTGAAGGATAAACATACAGGGAAGAGTACAAAGAAATATACACTCAATGAACAGTCACAAAGTTACAGTCAAGTAACAAGCATCCAGGTGAAGAAAAAGAGCATTATCAGAAAGAACCCCAGAAGCTCCCTGTGCCTCTTTCTCTGCCTGTCTTCCCCCTCGCCACTGCTGTAGAGCGCCACCATCCTGATGTCTAACAGTAACATGGTTTAGCTTGAAGCAATGGTGTCAACATTTTTTCTGAAAAGCTTTGGAGGTTCCTTTAATGAGCTTCAGATAAAGAGGAAAGAAGCATGACTATACATGACTATGTTAGCCTTTGTTTGACTTTGTTTCTCCTTCTGAATCATGCCTGAGGATAAGGATGATTGAATAAGATCAGAGTGCTTGGATAGTCTCAGTTTGGGTCTGTACTCAAGTCCCATGTTTGTGGAAAAGATGGATGCTGTATGTGTTCCACATTTCTCTGTTTTGAGGAGAAACACAATTTTGTCATGTCAACTTTATTTTCTGCTTGTGTCTGGACTTCAAAGGGAATTACCACCACTCCATTCAGACTGAAATCCTGTCTACCTTTGATGTTGTCCTCTATGTTAATTTGTTATTAAATCAGCATGCTCCCTAGACTTATTCCCAGGATTTTTGCAAGGTATGAAAAAGGAAGTGTTTTCTCTACTTTACACATTTATAATTAGCTATTTAGAATTAACTATTTGGGCTTTCAGAATTAATTATTCATGAGGTATTTGACTTAATTTTCTGTACACGACAGAGTGATCAATAAAAGGTGCTTTGGATGGAATTTTCCAAACCACTGGCTTTGTATTATAAATCTCAGCCTATAACATTCTTCACATTCCTAGTTTCTTAGGATTTTAATCAAATTCTTATGTTTTCCTATTTATAAATTGAATTGACTCTTAAGCTTTTGCTATTTAGATAATTGAAAGTGTGTGTGTGTGTGTGTGTGCGCGCGCGTGTGTGCATGCGCGCACATACATGCATGCACCCCTTTCAACTGTGCAAGTTATTTTGGGGGTTTTCTGAGTCAAAAAATTTGTCCATTCACCAGCTGTCTTGTTGCCTTTGCTAACCAGGTTTTCTTAGGTTTGTCTGAGGTTCCAGTTTTAAAACTACTAAGGGTCTTGATCCTCAGCTGGGACTACTGATTAGGAGTTTATCTGGTATAATTTTGTATGTTATTTACTTTGGCTAGTTTTTTTAAATTGTAAAATGTACATAATATAAAATTTACTATTTTAACCACTTTTAAGTGTTCATTCAGTTGGCCATTTGATTTTTAGAACTTTTATTCATTCATAGCAGTTTTAATCAACAGCTAATGAGGATCGCCTGTGTGCCTTGAGCCAAGGTTGGTAGATCATTGGAAAATTATCAAAGAAGTGTAAATAAAGTTTGTTCTCAAGATCCCTGTTCTTAATCTCAAAGAGATTAAGCCTTCTTGTTTCATCAGAGAAGCAAGATATATGCACACCAGTTATACATTGCTTCATGGTAGATGAGGCCCCAAATGTTCAAGGGAACACTTTGTGTAAAGATGAGACTCATTTTGGTCTTTAATCAGGGGCAGGATCTGTCTAGTTTGAGAGGGACAAAATCTTTACATACATAAAGATTTTTTTTAGTGCTTTCCACATGGCCAGGCCCTGAGCTGAATACTTTGTAACATACGTAAAGATTTTTATTTTACTTCTTAATTTGCATACAGTACAATACATTCTTGGGGAACAGTGGTGAACTAAAATAGCATACCAGCTAGTTCAGTGTTAAGCCCATTGTCTTTCACAGAATCATTTGCTTTTAAAATAAGCTGAATATTCAGATGAAGGAACATATTGTCACATAATTAATATTTTTATTTTCTTTTTGTGCCTGTAAAATAAAAAACATAATTAGTATTTTTAAAAGTCACAGAAGCCAAACTTACTTAACTTGTGATGTAGACAGTATTAAAAATTCAGATTTACATGGCAGGAGGTTAAACTTCCTATTAAAATTCTGTGCAAATATCTGTGTTCTTGCAGCATTAAACTTTTCAATATATTACCTCTTGGGAGTAAGTATTTCATTAGTGAGTTTAGAACAATTGTGGTTATAGTTTTTATGAAAAATAATTGTATAAAAATAAGCATGTAATGCAACACATATTTATTGAACTTAATCTTGAATGTCTCCTACACTGAAATCAGGTAAAAAGTTTAGAATGGGTGTGTATTGTGGATAAAGAGTGAGTTATTATTAATTCTGAATAATGTTGTCCCAATGCTTAATGGCAAAAGACGGTGCCCATTTTATTTATGTCTGTAATGGGTTAAGGATTTAAACTGGGCTGTAATGTCTTACAATAAGAATTAAAAAGTTCAAACCTTTTTCCTCTTCTTACATCTGCAGACAGGCAAATGTACATTGGGGACCACCGTGTTCACGTGACATCAAGAGGAAGCGGAAACCAGTGGCCACGGCATCTTTGTCTAGCCCCAGTGCAGGTGATTACATGCAGTTATCATTCATTGAGCATGTACCGTGTGTCAGGCACTAAATTATGTGTTTCGTATACCTTTTCATGTAATGTTTGTGATAGTGTAGATCATTTTATTCCCACTTTACATGGGAAAACTGAGACTACAAGAAATAATTAGCCTAGTTCTCGCTGACTCTGAAGTCTATGCTTTTTCTCTGTTACATGACTATCTAGAGTTTGAAACCCTATATTCCACTATCAGCAATCTCCAGTCATCTGAGCTTTTGTTTTAGCACAGACAGGAAATTAGGTCCATGTTAATGAAAGTCCAGGTGAGGTGGCAGTTCAATCAGCAGTCAGGCAGTCACATGGGGTTATTTACTTTCTTATTTTGCATATAGTACAGTACATTCTCACTGCTTTTATAAGTGGAATGTTAATATTTTATTGGTCATGACATTCCTAATTAAAAACTTTTTTAGGCTAAAACTTTTCAGGTTTTTTTTTTTTTTTTTTTTTTTTTTTTAACAAAACTAACACTAATTGGTAGAAGCCAAAATAGTGCTTATCTTTGGTGGGGGGCGGGGCGGGCAGTGACCAAGAGAGGGCACAAGGAAACCTTCTGGGCTGTTGGCAGTGCTCCATGCGATGAATTTGGTGGGGTGTATGGCTGCTTGCATAGGTAGAATCTGGAGCTGTGCACTTAGGATTGATGTCCTTCACTGTGTGTATGTTATCCTTCAATGAAAAAAAGGGGAGAGTTATGTATTTATTAATATTTCTGTGAGAAAACTGGATATTGAATATGTCATTGAATATTTTATTTTCTTTAGAAAATGCTACCTATTATATAGATCAGAGCAGTTGATAGCTGAATAGAGAGTAAACCTCAGACAGATGGGGAGGGAGCCCTATCCTCTACCTTGACTTAGTAAGTTTTGGTGAACTGTGAAATTGTCCTCTTTGAGCTTCTGTTTGTGATGTCTGCTTGATGGTGGTTCATACTGGACAGTCTTCATCACAGGTCTGATGATTATAGTACCTTTTTTTTTTTTTTTTTTTTTTTAAGTGCTTTCCACATGGCCAGGCCCTGAGCTGAACACTTTGTAAACATTATTTCACCTAATCTTTGCAACAGCCTTGTAAGGTAGACGCTGTTCTTATTCCCAATTTACACATGAGAAAACCAAGGCTTAAATCACTTCCCTGAGGCCACATGGTTGATAAATTGCAGAGCCAAGATCAGACCAGTTTCCCTGTGACTCTAGAGCTGTCCTCTCGAGCACTGCAGGTGTTCTTCTTTTTATATACAGTAGGATCAAGTCCAGACTATGACCCTGCATCAAAACTCAGATCCTCATTCAGTCTATGGTATTGGAAGCATTAAAAGAAAACCACCCCTCTTTTATCTTTTTGTTCTTTTTTTTTCTCCTTAATATCTAGCTTCTGGTTTTAGCTTTTAATTGTTTATAAGAGAGGAACGAACCATTGGGAAGAGTTTAAAATCCTCATTCCATATTCAGGTTGGGAAATGTACGTGTGTGGGGGTGGGTATTAAACAAGACTTGAGCATTAAACATTTCGCCTCCTGAGCCCAGCTCCTCTTCTCTCACTTGTTGACTAAGCCCTGCTTCACTGAGCATTTTCTTTTTTTTCTACCCACAACCTGAGTGCCCCATGGAGGTGAAGGACATAGCCTGAGTCTGTGCCATCAGTCAGTAGAACAAATGGGCTTGCTCTGCCTAACATCGGGCCATCTCGGATTCCACCTCTTTTATGGGAATGAGTGATGAAGAGAGGTGCGTTCCGCTTTGCCGCTGTATTAATACACATCAGGGGCCAGCTCCTGGCACTAAATCACGCTACTGCATACATCTGTTATCGGACTCTTCACCAGTGTGATGAACAAGACTGCAGATAGAGGCTTCCTTGTGTCATTCTTTATAGGATTTTCCTAAAAGAATAAATAGCTCAGATCTCTGCCAACACTCTCCCCTGTCACTGTGATGAATTCAGCTTCTTTCTTAAACATGCAGCCACAAATCTTTTCCCTTTTTTCCCTTCCCCCACTAGTAGAAAGTTTTGAGTTGAAATTGACTGAATTTAAAGATATTAATAAGGGTAGAGAGGTAAAGAGCAGGAAGAAACAGTATGTCTTCCTTGTCTTTTTGTACTAATAGTAACAAAAGGCCAAGGAAAAAGCCATAAATGACCATAGGGTTGTTAAATAGACCCATTTTGAAAGTGTAGCACCTTTATTTTCTTTGTATCTTCATTCTCCCCTCCTTATGGCTTTCTAGCCTGCAAGTGTCTACTGCACAGAACTACATCCTGGATCTTAGTGAGCAAGCATGCTAGCCTGCTTCTGAGACTTGATGCACCAGAACAGGGACTTTCCCGCAAGTGTCTCCCTCATGCTGAAGTGAACTAGCTGAATATGCTCTTAAAGAATGTACTCAGAAAAGAAAAAAAAAGAATTATCTTCTCCAAAATTTGAGATTAAGTAGCTGTAAAAAACATAATAAACCCAGATGAAAACCAGACTTCGTTTTCTTGAAATGATTTTCTTCATCAGAATGGTAGATCAGAGCCATCGGCATGCAGATTCCAATCCTTCAAAAAGTAAACACATGGCTTTTGATAAAGCGGAATTGAGGTGATCAGAAATTCTGTTGAGAACCCAGCTATTTGTGTGAGTATATTTTAGCTATCCCCAAAACTTTTTCTGACCTTTCTCTTTCTGGGATAGGATATGTGTGCTTAGAGTATCATTCAGAAGGATACCGAATAGTTAATCTGCTAATTAGTTACATCAGGTTTCAAATACTAGGTCAGTGACATAAGAGAGAGAAAGAGAGAGAGAGAGATTTGAATTGCCAAATGGATTGTCAGATGCGTTCACAAGAGCAGGACTGCGTATCTGTTTTGCTCACTACTGTACCCCTAGCATCTAAATGAATACCTAGCCCGTGGAACAAACCCACTAGTTATTTGTTGTAAGAATAAATTATTAGAATCTTAAAGGTGAAACAGAGTGATTCCTGATGTACTCTAACCACATGGTTGGATTCAGTAGTTCTATTTTAGGATGTCCCTTTTCTCGGGAGTCATAGGGCAAATTCTTACTGCCCACTGTGTCTTTTTAAAGTTTAAATGTTTTTTAAAATTAAACATGTTTCTTAGTAAATATTGAATGGGTATAAAAGAACGTTTATAGCAGATATGTAAGGAGTAAAGAAGATACAGCAAATATCCATGTACCTACCGTTCACTTTAAGAAAAAGTTAAAATTTTCTTTTTTCAAAAGTTAAAATCTTCTTTAAAAATCTCCTCCCTGTTCTCCTCAGAGGTAAAAGTTATTCTGATTGTTTTTTATCGTTTGTCATTCTTTTGTTTTTTTTCAAGTAGTTTTAGCAGACATGTATCTTCAAGCAATATATTGTCTAGTTTTGTGTTTTTGAAGCCTTGTATATGGAATCAAAGTATGTCATATTTTATGTTGCAGCTTTCACCCGGTTCTGTTTTTGAGATTCAGTCATGCTTTGTCCTGCCAAAATCTATTTTTCAGCTGCCATGTATATGGTATTCCATTGTATGAATATGATTAATATACTATAATTAAATGTTCTTGATGGACATTTGGACCGTATTCCTGTTTTATGCTATTATGGAAAATACTGCACTGTTCTCTGAGAGAACAAGTGCAAACATTCTTTGAGGCCACTTCCCGCTCATTAGGATGGCTGTATCAAAAACAGAGAGCATCTTGGTGAGGATGTGGAGAAATTGGAACCCTTGTGCAGTACTTGTGGGAACGTAAAATTGCTCATTGCTGTGGAAAACAGTATGTAAAAAAAATTCCTCAAAAAATTAAACATAAAACTAGCATATGATCCAGCAATTCTGTTTCTGTGCATATACCCAAAAGAATGAAAAGCAGAGACTCAAAATAGATTTTTGCACACCTCTGTTTACAGCAACATTATTTGCAATTGTCAAGATGGAAACAACTCACATGTCCATTGCTGGATGAACAAAATGTGCTGTATACATACAACAGAATATTATGTAGCTTGAAAGTCTTTCTTATTCAGAATGAAACTGCTACGTGCTACAAATTGGATGAAGACATTTGCTAAGTGAAATAAGTGAGACATAAAAGGAGAAATATTGTATGATTCCACTTTTATAAGCTGCCTAGAGTAGTCAAATTCATAGAAACAGAAAGACAAATAGTGGTTGCCAGGGGCCAAGGGAAGAGGGAAATGGGGAGAGTTATTGTTTAATGGGTACGGAGTTTCCATTTGAGATGAAGAAAAAGTCCTGGTGATAAATAGTTGTGATAGTTACACAGCAGTGTGAATGTACTTAATGCGACTGAACTGTACACTTAAAAATGGGTAAGATAGCAAATTTTATGTGTATTTTACTGTAGTAAAAAATAGCAAAAAAAAAAAAAAAAAAGTTTTTCTAGGGTAGTGCTTTTTTCACTGCAGTTTGGTGACCATGTAGGTATAGTTTTTTGAAATTTATTACCAGTTAAATATGAGTGAGTATGTGTGCCTGAGTTTGTTGTGAGTGCATGTGTGTATGAGAGAAAAAAAGAGAGAGATTTGAGTTGTCAAATGTATTTCCTGCTGCTCTGGTGAAGTTCCAGAATGTTTGAAAGCTTTTGCCCTCAAGAAACTCTTATATCTAGAGTAACAGCTTTCAAGATATTTTTACATTAGCCCACAATAAGAAATTCATGTTTGAATATGTGTGTTGGTTGCATGTGTAAATCTGAAATAAATCCTGGGTACGTGCTGATACTTTCTATTTTTTTCATTGAGAAAAAAAAGTAATGGTCATGACCCACTAAATTGATTTTGTGACCTGCAATTTGAAAATTACTGTTCTAGGTTACATTTCTGGGAGTGGAATTATTGGGTGACAGGGTAAAATCCAAACTTTCCTAGGTTTTGCCATATTTTAGTATATATTTGTTCTTAGCAGAGTGGGTGGAGATGATGGTTTGTGCCACTCTGCTCAGGGGCATATGGAAATGTGAAGTAAATGTTTGTTTGTCACAATGACTGGGGAATGTTCCTGGCATTCAGCAGATAGGATCCAGATCGGTGAGTGTTCTGAAGTATACAGGACAGCTCTGCACAAGCCATGTCTCCTGTCCAGAATGTCTTTAGTGATCTTATGGAAAAATATTGGGCCTGATTGTGCTCTTTTTCTGCCATTTTCCTTGTTGTATGGTATATATTTATTGGTAACACTGCCCTGTCGGAGGCATGGGTTGTGGCAGGAAGAGCGTGGGGTTTAGTGTCCAGTATCTGTGTTTGAATCTTGATATTTAGCCAGCTCTGTTTTATCCCTGAACAATTTATCTGATCTCTCTATACCTCAGTTCCCTGATCTAGAAAGTGGAGATCACTATGAGTCATCTCTATGAGTATCTATGAGTAAGGGTTTGTATTAACAATTAAGATCATGAGTAGTCATTGTGTAAGCAATAGGCACGTAAGTACTTTATAAGTGATTTTTACTACATTATGAATGCGTGCTCCTGAATTTATTTATTTGTTCAATTGAACCCATTTTCTCAGATTAGGAAATACTATCTTACTTAAATCTTGTCTTTACTTTTTTGTAGAGAAAAAAGAGGTACCTTATGTGGCCACTTAGGTTACTAGGACATGAAGTATAAGGATTAAGAAAATTTTGTTTCTAAGTGTCTCTCATTCTAATTTGTCTTATTCTAATTTATCTCCCCTTGATGTTTTTGCTCCTCTCTATTGTAACCTTACTAGTTCACATGGATGCAGTGGAGCCAACCACACCAGCATCACAAGCCCCCAAATCACCCAGCTCTGAGTGGTTGGTCAGGACCTCTGCAACAGAGAAAACCACAGATGCAACTACTGCTACATTTTTTAAAATGCCACAAGAAAAGAGCCCTGGATACAGCTAGAGAGCAAGACTTCACCCTCCAGGAGCTGACTGGGTGTTGCTGAAGCAAATGTTGGACTTTGTGTTAGATAGTCTTGCATATCTTAATCGACATTCCCAGTCCTTTCACCACCAGAACCAACTCCTCTTTCAAACACAGCAGTGGACTCTTTCTCTCAGAAGATCATGTTGTGCGAGTCTTTTTTTTTTTTTTTAAATAGTAAAATATTGAGGCAGCAATTTTTACAAAAAGGTCATCCTCTGCTCTATTTGTTACCTTGTTATTGCTGTCTCAACATTTACTACAGCTCCATTTACAGAGCTGTTGCTTTTTTGCAGTTGTCTTTGTTCTTGAAAAACCAGTAACTGCTTCTGCATACGTTTTGTGTAGAGCTTTTAATATCATTTGAGGAAGTTCCAAATTTGTAGCCAGTTCCAAACAAATTTAAATACTGAGTTGAGGCCTGTATGGAATTGTTTGCAGGAGATAAGGCTTGCCTTTGAGCCTACTCTTGATTCACTCAGAGTGCCAATAAGATAAATCAACGAGGTTCTCATTTTGGAGCCTCAAAAGAGACACCAGCAACTGGGCCTTGAGAACTTCCATTTTTTTGCAGATTGTCTGCAGAAACTCAGACAGCTCATCAGCAGCAGCAGCTGTATTGTATTTTACCTCATCTTCAGAGTTTATGTTCTACTGAAAGAGGACGTGTGTATACATGCACACGCACACACACAGCTTGGTGTAATGGAGAAGATGGTTTAGGTGTACAGCAAATTTAAAATAGTCAGTGAATTGTGTCTTACTACTTCATGTCCCAGTGTAAGCCTTTATGTCCTAAGCAGAACTTTATTGTTAGTATTATAGGTTAATAACCTGCAGCAGAAATTCATACTCTATTATAATAATGGCTTCTTGGGGCCATGCTTTGGGGAGGTAAAATGTCTTTTTGACATGCCTTTATATTTGGTGTGTTTATGATGGCTCAGCTGCATGTGGAGTTATATATACAGTCGTGCCTGAAGTTGGATGCTACTTTGTCAAAATGAGAAATAAGTGAAGGCCTGGAGCTGCTGGAGAGAAGCCACGCTTTCTAAAAAGTATTATCAAGAGTGTCTGTCATTCATTCAGGGGCCTGGCTGACAGAAGGGCTTTTTTTAATACCAATGAGTGCATTTACTCTGAAATACACAGAAGCTCTTGGTGAATTGCTCCCTGCTCTGGTCACATTGTAGAGGGACTCCGACTCATGCACCTGCTTATTTTCTGTCTTAAATAGGTGCTGGATGGGGCAGCACCTCCTTCCCCCAAAGTGCGATTGCCCCTGTTTCCCATACAAAGTGTAATGATGGGTTGCTTTATCATACTCCCTTTTACAATTATAGTCCTTATCAATGGAAACTCCAGATTTCTTTATCGATGAAGTGGGGAGGTGGGTGGGCATGAATCTAGTTGGAAAAGGGGATTTGAAGCTAAGTTTATGTGGCACTTTAAGACTGAGAACATGTCAATTGTTCATAATCAGGAATATGGTAGAGGGAGAGCAGGTGGAGATGATGGGACGGGAAAGTGCAGAAACCGGCCCAGCATGCCTCTGAGTCGCCCTTGGTTCTCATGCAGCAGTGTGTGTGCTGACAGGGGTGTTCCACCCTTGGTTCTCATGTCATGCAGCAGTGTGGGAGAGTGGTGAAGCCGGCCCAGCATGCCTCTGAGTTGCCTCTGGTTCTCATGCAGCAGTATGTGTGCTTAACAGGAGTGGAGATGATGGGACGGGAGAATGCTGAAACTGGCCCAGCAGACCTCTGAGTCACCCGTGGCTCTCATGCAGCAGTGTGTGTGCTTACAGGGATTTCCCAGGCTGCACTTCCCTTCCCTGTGGGCTGCACCCACAGAAGTATAGAAAATATGTCTGTTGAATATAAATTGGTACCACTGAATTGTTTTAGTGATGAGGTTAGATTTTGTTGTCATGTGCATTGTCACCATAGTGACCCATGGCATATATTTTTAACATACTTGGTTGGGTTTGAGAGAAATCTGTGGATATAATTTTTTGTTTGTGTCAAGCTGTATGACTCATGCAGTGATTGGTCCCATGATCATGGCCTATTAGTGAAAACCTCCAAAGGTCAGGTGGCCAAGGTGTTCCCACATTTTTTCTATATAACTTGTTGCCTGATAGTCCACCTTTCTACCTATGATTAAAAATTTTTATATACAACATTATTTACATTTCAAACATCTCTACAAAGTCATGCCATTTTAAGGAGACGAAAACAGTCACAGAGTTAAGTGACTTGCTCCAAATCACAGAACTAAGCCAGGACTAGAATCCCAGACTTTCAGATTTTCTCTGCCCTGGGTTATAATCTCTTGTTTTTCAGTGATAGACCTGAGTCAGTCTGAGATGCTTATTTATGAAACAGTATGCCGTGAATATTTATTATCTTCTTGGGCATGCTTTTCTACCCATTTTGAATACTTTCAACAGGGATTACCCAAGAATGCAACGTCTACCTGTAATAAATGGGGAGAAAGTTAGTTGCCTGAGAGAATAGAATATTAAGCACACAAATACTTTCCAACACAGGGTTGTAAGTTGTGCTCCTCATTTTAAGGTGCTGTATCTGCATGTTTAAGGATTATTAATCAATGTATTCTGCTTGCTTTCTGTATTAACCAGTTCCAGAGGATAGACTTAGAAATGAGTGTATTTTGAATCTTAAAACTTAAAGTTTCTTTATATGCAACGCAGTGTATAATGTCATAAATTAAGAAAAATCTATTATCTTTCAAAGAAATTACCTAGTTTCAAAAATCAGGTTTTGTAATCAGTGTTGAAAAACTCTGAAACACGACTTACTTTGAGGATGATCCTTGAGCTCATGTATTTGATCTGCTCAAAAGTAGTAACTAAAGCTGAGTTAAACAGTTTTTATTTATTTCAGGGTTCTGATTTTTCCCAGCTGGCTACACAGATGGCCTATCTGAATCCTAATTTTGTGTGTTTTCGATGATGGGCAGAAGTCAAAACATTATCTGCTTCTGTGAGGATCATTAATAAAAAGTTGGTTTTAATTACGAGTTTAAGGGAATTTTAGTTTATTTTTCAGATGGAGTATTTGAAAGGAACAAAACTCTCGTGTTGCCTTTTGTTGTTGTTGTTGTTGTTGTTGTTTCCTAGAGACAGGTTCTTGATCTGTCACTCAGGCTAGAGCGCAGTGATGTGTTCATAGTTCACTGTAACCTTGACCTCATAAGCTCAAGCCATCCTTCTGCCTCAGCCTCCTGAGTTGTGAGAACTACAGAAGTGTGCCACCACGCCTGGCTAGTTTTTTAAGTTTTTGTAGAGATAGGGTCTTGCTCTGTTGCCTATGCTGGTCTTGAACTTCTAACCTCAAGCAATCTTCCTGCCTCGGCCTCCCTAAGTGTTGTAGTAATAGGTGTGAGCCTCCATGTCCGGCCTTGTGTTGCCTCTTGGTAAGAACTAATAAAAGGAAATTAGTAGCTTGTTTACCTGGTACCGGATTTGGAGGGGGCTGAGTATAGTTTTTACTGAGTGGTATGTGATTGGAAAATAGGCCACATTAGCCTTGAATTGTTTGAAATCAAATGAGATTCGAAATTTTAGAGGACATTGCTGGGCTATGAAATAGGCTACTAACAAGGCTATTTTTGTAGCAAAATGGCCAAAAGCTGAAATAAATCTTCTTAGTCTGTGATGCTTGCAGAGCATCCTTTGTTAAGTAAAGCACAACACCTAGGACAAGTAACTAAACTAGTTATGACTTCCAAATAGATTGATAGAGCCTTGCATTTTGGAGTTAGAGACACTGTAGCTGTATCTATAGACCTGTAATATAGCCTGGAAAGTTCTGTTGCTGCAGAGTTATCATTCAAGTCACTTGGAATTGAAGAAGATACGGAGTGTTGAGACAAAGGAACTAGGCTGGCACAGTCATTGCTGATGCGATGGGTTCTCCACTTTGGCTCCAGGCGTAGGCTCCTGGTGGTGATGCATGATTCATTTCCAGTCTTTGTTTCATTTTGGCTTCATTACTGTGGTTCTGAGCCACACAGGTTTCTCCCCGTGAGGAGAAGACTGTAAAAACCTCAGCGTTAGCAGCTGTGTTCAGTGCCCTGTATGTCTTGTGAAGCTTATCTGAGCTGGACTGAGAGCAGAGTGGCTCACTCTTGCAGCTGTGGATGCAGTCTAGTTGGAGGCATGGCTTGGAGGATGTCATGGTTCATGCAATGGTTGGAGGGATGGTAAAGTTAGCTCTTGTCAGCTGCTTCCCTCTGCTAGTGCTTGAGCTGCCAATTTTATTTGTCAGTGTTTCCTTATCTTCCACTCCTGTTGTGAAAGGTCACAGAGTTACTGTCACTGGCAACAATTTCTCCCCTTAGAAGAAATCTGGTACAGAGGGAAAGGGTGAGGAAAATGGTGAATTCCATCACTCAGAACTAAATGCAAGTGGCACAGAGATGCTTTCTCCTGTGTTAACGTCTCCAAAAGATGAACATCAAATGCCCAGAAACAGCAACATCAAAAAGAAGGAAGATGAGAAGTATTGTTGAAGAGTATGGACTATAGGGTTTTTAACAAGTCCAGCAAGACAAACTTATGGCTAAAAGAAGACATTTTTCTATCACTGCAAGTAGACATCATAAATGCTTGGTAAAATTGCCAGATTTAGGGAATAAAAAATTTTTCAAGTACAGTATTGAAGAATGGGGGCACATCCTGAAGACATTCAGCAAAGAAGCAATCTTGGCAAGGTGGAGAAGTGGGAAGCAACGTGGAGAGAAAAGGAGCTGCCCAGCAGGAATTGTTAGCGTGTGGTCCCTAGGCCAACAACACCAGCACACCTTGCCCACACTAGACCTGCTGAATCAGAAACTGCCAGCGCAAGGTCCAGCAGTCTTCCAGTAAGCCCTCCAGGGGGCTCTGGTGCATGCTCAAGTTTGAGAACCATAGACTTTGACACAGTTAAAAAGATGTTTTCATGGACTGGTCTCCTTCTAAGCTCTGAGATGCTCTCATAATCCCTCCATAAGTAAAGAGTTGTTTTTTTTTTTTATAATTCTTTGCAGAAACTGTTAATGTCTTTATTTCTCATATTTTTTTTTCCCCTACAAGCTCCTGAAAGATCTTTTTGAAAAATTGACAAAGGATGCTATCAAGGGCTATGTTTAAATGGATGGAAATAACCTTGAAAATGGATAAAGCCTGGGTGTGGTGACTCACGCCCATAATCCCAACACTTTGGGAGGCCAGGGCAGCAGGATTGCTTTATCGCAGGATCTGAAGACCAGCCTATGCAGCATAGTGAGACCTTGTCTCTACAAAAACTTTTAAAAATTAGCTGGCTGTGGTGGTGCATGCCTGTGGTCCCAGCTGCTTGGGAGGCAGAGGCAAGAGGATCACTCTAGCCCAGGAGGTTGAGGGTGCCGTGAGCCATGATCTGGCCACTGCACTCCAGCCTGGGTGACAGAGCGAGACCCTGTATCAAAAAATGAATAATCAAATAAAAATGGATAAAAATGTAACAATGAATTATTAGTCTATGAATGATAGTCATTTTTCACAATTGGCAGTAAAATTATGATTTGTGTAATGTATGAGTTTACCACATTTATTCATAAGATCTTAGTTTCAAGGGAAAGTATCATGTATTTTCCAGCATGATAATGATGAATCATTTAAAGTATGGCTCATAAAAATGAAAAAAAAATATTGGAAGAAAAAGCCAACTTGGGTACATAGGTGTGTAATAAATAGCTGTTGAGTTATTGATAATCTCTTGCTAGGATTGAATCTCAGTACTTCAGAGCATGTAAAAATCAATTTTCTGTGATCCCACTTAATCACACCGTGTTGTCTTTTTTTTAGATTTCAGCTAGCGATTCTGCAGGGGTCGGAGACCAATAGCAATCTCATGCTTTGTTGTTGATGTTATTGTCTGACTCGTGGATTCAGCATTTCAGAATATGGTACTCTAATCTTAAGGCTTTGAAAAAAAAAAAACCGTGGCCATTTTTCTTTATATTTTACTTGTGTTAATTGGGCTAGGTCCTAACTGGTTGCCAGAGCCTGGAAATCCAGGTTCTGTCTTTTCAGGGAATATGCATAGCTAAAGAGTTCATTGTGTTTGCAAAGGTACACTAGGAGTTCTCATTTCCTCAGATGCTTATGTGTGTAGACTGTTAAGTTCTCATTTCAATTTTTGCAGTCTTTTAAAACACCACACAATTTTTCTTTTCCATCTTAAAGACCAGTTAAAACTACCTCTGGCCACAAATGTTAGTGTTACTAGATATTATCAAGGTGTGAGACTAAAAAGTTAGAAGACTTTAAGATGTAAATTATATAAGTTAATGTTTTCTTTCTCTGAAAGTTCTGACCCTTGCTGACCCCTCATTCAAATGTTTTTAATTGAAAGGGGTAAGAAAATATCAGAGAACTTAAAGATGGCCTTCGTAACTTTGACTCAAAATCAACACGTTTCATTATGTATAGGTCCTACACCTTGCTTCCTCAAGCAGGCCATGAAAAAAAATCTCATGACCATGCAGACTGATGCCACCCCAAAACTATGGTAACGATTTGAATTGCTCTCAATATTGATCTCAAACTCCCTCCTGTTGTCAGCAGCTACTGCAAACTGGCTATTATAAACCCTTTCTACCCCCACCTTCTCTCAATCTCAGCAGTTAATCTCAGCCCTCCCCCACCACGTAACAGCCTCGGGCAGAACTTCCCACTTAGACACCCTCACACACACCCTTCCTTACCTTCTTGCCAGTGCCTGTCCTGCCCAAGACGAATCCCTTTTCCTGTGCCCTAAGCCCTCTCCCTTGATAAATGACTTGATCTAGATATAGCCTCACACTCCTGGCACATACAGCTTTGCATTTAAACATGTTCAGATACTCCTGCTTCAAACAAAAATACCTTTCCTCAACCCTTTGAAAGCCTAACTACCACTAAAGTATACTGCCCTTATCTGCACTCTGTCCATTCTGCAGTCCACTGAGGCAGTGGTTTTTAACCCTGGCTGCATGTTAGCATCACCTGGGAAGCTTTAAAACGTCCTAATTCTGTACTGGACCACAGACCCATTAAGTCAGCATGGGGAGGTGGGACGGGTTTCAGTCTTTAAAAAGAAGTGTAGCTGAGGCTGAGAACCACCACTCTAAAACCTGGCTGCTACCCTTGCTACCATGAAAACTGTTCTTGCTGGATTCACCAGTGACTTCTACTGTCAAAATGTAGCCCATAGGTTGATTTTTATGATACTGATGCTGTATAACCACTTCCTTCTTTGGAATGCACCCTTTCCTGACCCTGCTTTCCTGATTTTTCTCCCACTTCTTTGCTCTTTCTCAATTTCTCTGGGTGGTTTGGTAGGTCAGTCTAGCATAGACGGGATGCCGGTCTCTGCCACCACCTCCGTTACTGAAGTGAACACCTGTGTGCCAGTGAGTTCCTTTGCCATACCACCTTAATGCACCAACTTAAAAGCACAGATTAGAGGGAAGCGTTCACATTCACTAATCACTGCAGGCTTCTAGGAAAGCATACTAAAGGACTCTGGTCCTTCTCTTACCTCCCTTGTTCCTCCTCCAAGCCCAGTGAGGCAGGAGGAATTGCTGATAAGATTAGTGAGATTCTAAGGTGGATCACTCCTGTTTACTTATGAGTTGCTGTTTGTGAAAAGATGACCTGGACTGTGGTCCGTCTTCTGCTTTCTCCTCTTCGGGGTCTTGGCCTGGTAAGGGGGCCCGTGCCCAAAAGAGGCTCCTCCACCTAATGCTGTCTTCAATCTGTGGCTTTCTGCTGCTGGTTAAGATTTTAATTGGGCTGCCTCATCCCTTTTTGACCTTGAGCTTCATGTTGATCTTTATCAAGGAACTTTTTATTGGGGCATCACCACTAGCCCTATGAATACAGTGAAATTTGATTTCCCAGTCTACTGTTACCATTGCATGCTGCCCCTGGAACTGGATATATAGATTCTACTTTCATCAGAAGTGATGCTGTGTGTTCCTGATGTCTTTGAATCACTAGTTTCTGATTCAAAATATGGGGTAGGTGGATCTGATTAGTAGTCATATGCCTGTGTCCTGGCTAGGAAGTCAGAATGAGGTTATCTGGAAAGTTGAGCTTCCTCACATGTGGGAAGGTACTTCAGATGCTGGACAGCCAATAAGAATAACAAAGGTCCACCAGAGCCATTGCCCCAGTCACTGATTCAACAAACATTTACTGAACACTGATTAAGCCAAGTGCTCCTCAGGGACCTCTTAGGGAAGAGGATAACTGCCCTAAAGCTGGATGCCCCTGGGCCCCTTAGATATACTATCCTTGAGACTATTAGGCCCCTGTCCAGAATACCTAATAATAATAATGGCAAATGTGTACTTAGTGGTCTGCCATTTGGAAACAACATCTCACTCAGCAACTCTAAGGGTAGGTACTTTTGTCTCCATTTTAAAACAATGAAATACACTTACAGTTATAGACAAACTTGCTGAAGTCACATATCTATTAAGCATCAGTGAAGATTCAGATTCAAGTCTGTTTGATGTTAAAGAGTGTCTGTTCCTAACCAATACCTCTGCTGCCTCTTTTGACAGACTGAACTGTCAGAGGGCATGTACGTATGCATAAGCTGTGGGCCACTGGGCCCTGGGCCAGTGTCTGATGAGACCTCTTTATTGACTTGTTTCTCTTGGGCTGTTTCTCTACCAGGCAACTGAATGGGCTCATCCCTTCTCTGTGCGTACATCATTGAATGGAGATAGCCGGTTTCTGTGACATCCTCTTATAACAACCTAGTTTTGTTCTTGAGAGTGACCAGAGTGAGAGAAAAGTCAATTAAATCTTGCAGATCTTGCAAACCTATGGCAATAAAAAGGTATTGTCCTTTGTGTACCAAGGCACAACTGATTCCTAAACGAGGAAGATATGTGTTATGAGATCGTAATGTTAGTGATAGACTTTTCAACACCTTGGTAAACATTTCTTTGACTGTTAGCAAAAGCTGCCTTAACAGTCTTGGCTTTTAGAAATGTCCCTTCATTCAGTAGATGTGTATAGAACACATTTTATGCCAGGCACTCTGCTAGGAGCTGGGTATACAGAGAAGAAAGGCATTCCTGCTCTCATGATGTTCATGGTCTTCTGAGGAAGAGACAAGAAAAGCAAGTATTACGATGTAGAGTGAGATAAGAATGGCAGGGTATTTTGGCAGCAAGGAAGAGGGCACTTTAACTCAAACTGGGCAGTGGAAGAAGTTAAAAAAAAAAACACGAAATGAAATCCTGAAGGATGAGCAGGAGTTAAGAAGAGTGGATCAAGCCCTCCAAGGGTAAGAGCATGGTTTGTTCAGACCACTGCAAGTGTTTTCATATGGCCCACATGTAAAGCTTATAGAGGAACAGAGAGAGGAAGGCAGGAGACAGGAAGTGAAGGCAGTTGGAGAACTATTGCAGTATTCCTCTGCTAAGCTCAGGGTGCCATTCATGGAAACCCTACTGCAACTGGCCCATTGTGCATACAAAGCTGGAACTGAGATGTGAACAGGTTTGCATTGCCTTGGTCACCTTCCGTGGGAAATATAGCTAGGCCCACTTATTGGTAGGAGCTACTGACATGTTAAAACTAGGTTAAACTGAATTGGAAGTAATGCTTTATTTGGAATCCTGGCTGGCTGATTTCATTACATGTTCTAGCATGATACCAGTCTGAGGTTATGCCCCTTGAACCACCAACTTAGTAGAGTTTAATGCACAATGTGATGGTCTTAGTTCCTTGTACTGTTCTTCAGCGACAAAGTTGTTCAAGTGCCAGTTAAGTTTTTTGGGCTTTGTTTCTCAGTAGTCACAGTAAATTTGTGTTGATCTGTTTACACCTTTTGGACTGAACACCTTAGCAATCTTTGATATTTTAAGCCTACAGAAAGTGCCCATGGGATAAAACCAATCTGCTGGCTCACACTAAGTTCTGATCCCATGATTTTGGTCTCATTAATACCGTGCTATAAATAAAGTTAGCTAAACGTTTTGAAACTGCATAAAAGTGAAATAATTGTGAGTTTTGGGCCAACATTTTTCCTGAACAGCTTCTGACTGACCAGCATTTTAAATTAGGTGATGTAGTCTAGCTTTTGTACATAGAAATAAGAAAGTGACTTTTATGTTCCATTATTAAAATAGTATAGGGAGGACAGGTAAATATACTAATTTTTCATTGCTCATACTAGAGAATTAAGGTATATTGACTAATGAAATAGAGGATTATGGGGACCATATGAAAATATGATTAAAGAGATTATCACTAGAGGAAAAATTCAGACTGCTAATTATGAGAAAAAACATGTATGCACAACCAAACAAATCACAAAAATTAAAGATTTCTAAAACAATAGAATAGGAACAAATGTACCTGTCATATTAATAAAAGTAAACTTAGCTGTAGATAAAAGGCAAAAATGTCAGCAAACACTAATTTCATGTTATAAGATTCAGAAAGGTTGCGCAAAAGTAAACCAAGCAAACACAAACAAGAAAATGAGTTGTAGTCTGCATATCAGGCAAGGTTGAACTTAGGGAAAAAGAGTTGAAAGAAAAAGAAAAACACTACATAATGCTAAAGGGTGTGACTCACGAGATGTGATGTTTCTCGAATTCTGTACTAAATAATGGAAAACCATTTATGTATTGGAAGCCATGGGAGACACTGGAAGAAACAGAAATACAGTGTTAGTTGGATATTTTAATTCAATTCTGTCAGTTCATGACAAATCAATGGATAAAACCTAGGACATGGAATGATTTAAATAAGATACAGAAGATCTAGTTGATACATATTAGACTTTACCCTAAAAATGGTAACTACACTTTACCCCTAAAACATTTCCCCATTTGACTGTGTATTAGAGCATACAGAAAACATAAGTTTCAGAACAGAGAAAAGGAACAACAGATGCCATTTGCTGATAAAAATGCAATAAACTTAGAATTTGAGGATAAGTGGTCAGAAAAAAAAGAATGCAATAAATTAAAGCTAGAAAACACTGCTCATCTGCAATCTAAAATGTTTTTAAGCTCTTCAACTATTCTTGGGTTGATTAGGAAATGCAAAGCATTAAAAAAGCATTTCATATCTAGACTATAAACTTGTTCCTCTGAGATACACATAAAACAGTGCCCAGAGGAAAATTCATTGCCCTAAGATTTGTGTATTAAAAACTAAGATAAATGTTGTATAACTCAAAATATTAGGAAAAGGAATCTTTTAAAAGCAGACTAAAAGAATCCAGAAAAATTAATTAGAAAAATGGGGAAACAGAATTAAAGAGCTAATTTTTAAAATACGTAGTAAAATATGTAACATTTTAGCTACCATTACAAGAGAAGACAAACACAAAATAAAAATTACCAGATAATATATAAGAGCCATAAAATATACTTTGCTCAACTGTACGCAAACAATTTAAAAACTTGGATTAAATGGATAATTTTCTAGAAAGGTATTATTTGCCAAAAAATGACATCAAAAGAAATCTAATATAGCAATTGTCATAGAAGAAGTATTTCAATTAGCATGACTAAGTATTTTTAAAGACCCTACCAATGAAAACAAAGAAATGCATTTGGAGGATTAACAAAAACTTTTTATAACACCAGTTTTTTATTTTACATTTTAAAGCATGACATGGAATTTATTGAAAAGACATGTATTTTATAGAATCCAAGCAAAAGCTGACCAGCCAGAGATAAAGTGAGACCAACTCAGGGAATGTGAGCAGTGGTGATTTATTCCCTCTGGTGTTCCATGTTAGCCTGACACAGAGCTCCTTTTCCACATTCTCAGGGGCTCTTGATCCAAAACCTTAAAAAAAAAAAAAAATTAGACTTAACAGAAAAGCTGCAAAAGTAGATTTCCTGTGTGCCCTTCTCTCAGCTTCTTCTAATGTTAACTTATATACCAATGGTACAATTATTGAAACTAGAAAATTAACATTGGTACAATCCTATTAACTACATACTTTATTTGAATTATAGCAGTTTTCCCAGTAATGTTGTTTTTCTGGTTTGGTATTCAATCCAGGATCCATATGTACTTGGGTCTTTCTGGGTTTTCTATTCTGTTCCACTGGTCTACTTGTGCATGGTACCACACTTTTAATTATAGAGACTTTATAGAATGTTTTAATGACTGGCAAGGCTAGTCCCTCTTATAATTTTTCCTATTTGTTGTGCTTCTAGCTATTCAAACATTTTTTTTTCCCATATGAACTTTAGTATCAACTTGTCTAAATTCATTTTTTAAGGTACATTGGTATTTTATTGATATTATATGATATTAACTGATTTAGGGAGAACTAACATCTTTAAAATGTGGAGTCATCCTATCCAAGAACAGAGGATGTATTTCCATTTATTCAAGTCTATTTTGTGCCTTTTCAGCAGTGTTTTAAAATTATCCTTGTGTAGGTTTTGTGCATTTCTGGCTAAGCTTATCCCTAAGTATTTAATTTATTTGCTAGTAAGTGAGATTTCCTCTGCCATTATGTCTTCTAACTGGTTATTGCTCTCTATATAAAAGCTACTGATTTTGTATGCTAATATATCTTGCTGCCTTATTTTTTTTTTTTTTTAATAAACAACAGAAATTTATTTCTTACGGTTTCACAGTCTGGGAAGTCCAAGATCAAGGTGCTGGCCGATTCAATGTCTGGTGAGAGCTTGCCTTCTGGTTCATAGATGTCACCTTCTAGTTGTGTCCTCACATGGTGAAGGGGACTAGTTAACTCTCTGGGGTCTCTTGTGTAAGGGCATAAATCCCAATCAGTAGGGCTCCACTCTCCTAATCTAATGACCTCCCAAAGGCCCTGTCTCCAATACCAACACTTTGGGGATTAGGATTTCCACCTGTTTTCGGGGGGGACAAACATTTATGCCATAGCAGTCAGTAGCAAACTCTTTTTGTTTTGCAGCCAAAGGTCAGTCAAGTTTTATCTTCTTAGCTTAGTATAATCTAAGCCCTAAAGCCATGAAATGCATGGAAAAGGTTTGTTTTCTTTTTCTAACTTTTATTTTAGATTTGAGGGGTATACGTGCAGGTTTGTTACCTGGATATATTGCGTGATGCTGAGGTTTGGGGCATGAATGACCTGTCACCCAGGTACTGAGCATCCTTACAGAATTCTTTTACTTTTGAAGTTAGTTTTATCATTGCTCCTCTAGAAAAACAAACAAACACAAAAATCAAAAATTGTTTCTAAATACCCAGAAGAATGATGAGAAATGAAAAAAATCTATAGAAGTAAAAAATTACATGAAAGCTTAAACCTAGGAGAGCAAGTAAGACAAAATTTTCCTGACTTTGGCCCTGGGTGAAGGAAAAGGTGTTCCTCTCCTACCAACCTAAAAATGTTGAACAAGTTGTCCCCTATATAGAGGGTTGGGGCTCAAATTTATACTACTTGTATGGTGCAGAATACTGCATGAGGAAATTTAATTTACCGTAGACCCAAGCCAATTGTAACCCCAGGTAACTACTAGAAGCAACCACAAATTCTCTCTGGAGGAATGAACTTTCAACCCAGTTATCAAAGAACTCTCACAGATAAAGTTATGAATATGTACAACTTAAGCCAATAAATTTGAAAGCTTAGACAAAATTCCTAGAGAAAATAATTTCTCAAAACTCATTCAGGGGAAATAGAAAACTTGATTAGTTCTGTAACATTAAACAAATTTAGTAAGTAGTTTAAAATCTGGGCCTGTGTACTCTGCAGAAAGATGTTATGGGACCCCCAAAATGCCATCGGTTTTTTTTCTGGAGCTTGACACATTGATTGTAAAGTTCATTTAGAAGAACAATGCACAAGAGCAGCCCAAGGAAACCCTTTTAAGAGAGCACTTGGTAGGAGGAGGGCTAGTCCCACTACGTATTAAAACATAAAGCCTCAACTCTGAAAGTGTGGTAGAGGTGCATGCATAGGTCAATGGAACAATATAGAAAATTCTGAAACAGGCCCAATTGCATATGACAATTCAGGATACAACAAAGGTGGTGCCCTAAGTCAGTGGGGGGGAAAGATGGATTATAAAAATGAATGGTGTTGAGATAACTGGATATAGTTATATGGCTACATATAAATATATAACCATACAGGAAAAAGTGGATCTGTTTCTCACACTATGCCAGGATAATTTTCAAATTGAAGAGAGATTTAATTGTACAATTTAAACTATACAACTACTAGAAAGGAAAAAAAAGATGAATTCCTCTGTGACAGGGGTCAGCAAGCTACATAGCCTGTAGGCCAAATCTGACTGACCCAAGGCCTAGTTTTGGGCTGCTGCAAGCTAAGAATGGTGTTTTGCTTTGTTTTTTCTTCCACCTTTAAAGTGTTCAATAACAAAAAGAGGAGACTTTGGAACGGAGACTTTATATGGCCGCAAACTCTAAAATATTCACTATCCAAACTTTTATTTAAAAAAGACTATGGACCCTTGCTTTGTAACCTGGGTTAGCTATTGCATAATAATGCCACTGAACTCAGCTGGGGTATATCTGCTCTAAGTGTCTCTCATCTCCTTGGACCAGTACAAAAATATACTCCACTCCTTTGGTAGAAGGGAATGTAAATCCACATGGCAAAGGATATAGGGAACTGAAAAGTTTTGGAACCAATAATATACTCTTCCACACTAAATACTACTAAAAATTTAGATGCAATATTTGACTGTTTTAAAAAAATCTTGTATGCATATACATAGTAAGCAAACTAAAATACAAGTGATAACCCAGAAACATGGTTGCAACTTACATCACAGATTAAAGGCTAATACTTCTAATTTATAAATAACATAAAAATAGAGAATTTCCTGTAGACCACTGTGGAAGAGATATGAGCAGACGGTTCACTGAAAAAAATGCAAATGTCTCTCAAACATATGAAAAGATGCTCAACTTCCATATAGTCAATTGATTTTCACAGCAACCTAATTAGTAGATATTCTTATCATCCCCATTTAAGAGACAAAGAAACTGAGTCATAAAGTTGTGAAGTATTATGCTTGAACACAAAAAGCCAAGAACTAATGGTGCTGGGATTTGAACCCAGTCAGGCTGGCTCTAGATGAAAGACTAATTCACCATGACTGAATAAGGCTTATTTCAGGAATTCAAGGATCATTTAATATTAGGAATAGCTGGATGTTTCCTTAATATGATAGAATATATTTATCTCGATCCAAAGCCTGCGTTGTGCTTAATTGAGAATACCAGAAGCAATTTCATTAAAGTCAGGAACAAGAAAAAGATGTCCACTAATTAGCACTATTATTTAAAAATGTTCTGTAGGACGTAGGCGAAACAATTAGACAAGTGAAAGAAAGATACAGAAATTGGAAGAGAAAATTGTAATTTTCAGATGATACTGAGTTTTTTACTTAGAAACTAAAGACTAACCAGACCTTACAAAATAAGAATAAATTAATTTTCAGAAACAATAGCTTTTATAGATACAATGTCTAATGTCAAGCTCTAAGGGAAGAAAAGACCCATTTTATAACAACACAAAACATAAATGATAACATACTTAGGAATAAACACAAGACATATTATTTGTAGAAAAGGTTAAAATGCTAATGGGAGATGAAACAAGACCCAAACAAATGGGAAGATATACTACGTTCTCGCATAGAAATACGCAGCATCATAAAGATATCACTTCTCTCAATTTACAAATCTAATGTGATCTTCAATAAAAATACCGATAGAATTGAAAAAAATCACATAAATTGATTCTAAAGTTCATATTCAAAACCAATAGTGATAGAGGGAGACTACTAGATATTAAAATGTTTACATCTACAGCAATTAAAACAGTGGTAGTAATTTGTGAGTAGTCATACAGATGAGTGGAACAGAACAGTTCAGAAATAGATCTAAATACGAGAATTGAGAAGATGATAAAGGTGGCTTTTCAATCAGTGGAAAAAAGATTAGTCAGCAAATGGGGTGGGAACTACTAGGTAGGGCTCTGTTGAAAAAAATTAAGTTGGATCTATACTTCACCTCTTATACCAGGACAAATTACAGACAGTCTGAAGATTTAAACATTAAAAAAATACTTTTTCTAAAAGTAGAAAAAAAAAAGAAAGTTATTTTATAACCTAAGAGTGGGGAAGGCCTTTCTAAGTATGACACAAAACCCAGAAGCCATAAAAGACAAGACTGCTAGATTAGACTTCATAGACATAAAAAATTTCATTGAGACAGTAGCACCATAAGCAAATGCAAATGAGAACCTGGGCAAGAAATGGGTAACTCTGCCAAGATGAGGGACTAAGTTATCTAAAACAGAAAGAGTCCCTATCAATAAAAAAGAAAACAGATTAGCAATCCAGTATAAAAATGGGCAAAGGAGATTAACAGAGACGTTTAATAGAGGAGAAAATACAAATGACTTTAAAGCATATGAAAATGCTTAATAATAGAAGCTTTTCACCTACCAAAAATACTAAAGTTTGTTAACACACTATAATTGCAAGTGTGTAGTTAGATTGTCTCATACATTGTATAAACTAGTGCAAACTATAAAGGGTTGACACTATCTTATTAAAATTACAAAGGTACATTACATTTTTAAACCCATCAATCCTAGGAATTTGTCCTACAGAGAGAATTGTATCTATACATGCAAAATAATGTGTGTCAACATAAAAATTTATAGAAAGATGAATCTCTTAAGTAAAAGGTTTTATTGGGGAATAATACACAAGATGTGGGATTGCAAACCAGGTCATAGATACAGACCAAGGTGTCCTCCAGTATGTCCAGAGGAAAGGAAAATGTTAGGGTTTTATTGGGGAAAGAGGAGGTTATACAAGTCGTTTTGAAAGGAAGTCATTGGGGATAGTGTCTTT